ATGTGATACTTGGTCTTCGGGTTCTGTTGATGACCCAATCAACCAATCCAATGCAGAGCGATGTGGCTCTACACTAACGGTTCTTGTGCTAGGTTCGAGGTTCTTGTCAGTGGGTTGCTCTATGTCTCGGACGGTTGTCGCCGAAGATGCTAGATCAAAGACTCAAAGACCGAGGATAATGGATGATGCTTTGAAGAGGAAACTTTGTCGTTGGTTCTGCTCGCTGCTGCACTCAACTCAAGTCGGTCAACACTGCTGCTGCTCGACCGTACTTCTGCACTCACTTGCTGGAACCAACCACCGCTTCGAACTCTGTCAACGTACTGGTAACCGGACACTCAAGCTCGCCTTCTGCTCCTTGCCCTGGTAGACTCTCTCTTCTGAATTCATGAGCGGCAGCGCTGCTGCTGCCGCTGCTCAACATCCTTCACGTACGTCCACAGAAATATGCCAATTCCGCCGCAAAGCGGGGACAGAACCCGAACATCCCCTGAAACGAGCCTACTTCGTACCACAGCAAGTTGGCCATGCTCGCGGTGTTCGTTGCGGATGGTACGCACGCACGCCCGCCCGCAGGGAAAGGATGGTCTGCTGGGAGTGCGGTACATAGGATCGCGCCCATTTTTTTTTTTTTAATTCTCCGCTCCGTGCATCGTAATCTACCCCCCCAACGCTCCGGGATTCCAATTTCCCCATAACTTGGTCGGCACCAGAATACCGAATTGGAATTTCGGCGTTGTTGTTGTTGTTGTTGTTGTTGACTTCACATTAAACCGTATGCCAGTTGCTAAATGCCAAAATTGGAATTTGTTTTCCCAGGGCGGAGGATTCCAAATTTGGAATTTTAATTTTTCCATAACAATTAATTGGCCTGTGCGGGATAACTTCTTTCTTGAAGCGGGATCGACGGCCTGCTCTGCCTGTAGATTTTGGTATATAGGTTCGATGGTAGCGCGCCGAGACCTTCCTACTGCACCTTCATGGATGCGAGGGGACTTTGGACGAGAACTAACCCAACGGTAAAGGGTGGGACAGGATGTTGGCGAGCGGAGAGACAAAAGATGCGACTTCGTTTCTGACCGCCTTCGGGAAAGGACGAGTTGACAGTCCGTATCTTGCCCAAGACAGAAAACCACACTAGATTGACACAACATTTCCCACTCGAAGCAAGCGTAAGAGCAACCACCATTCACTTGTATACACTTCACCTGCGTTTAAGAGTATTCAGTCTACAGCAGTAGTCTCGGGCTCTCTGCGGTCAGTAGAGTACGGCGGTGCTTTTTTGCTCTGCTCTTCTTCCTGACGGTACATTCGAGGCGAGAACGGGATAGTCTATGTGGCCGAAATCAACTCCTGGGTATTCATGAGACGAAGAATAGTCGCCTCTTTGGTCCTAGCTCCCAACGTGGTTCTTGTTGTGGATTGCGAAGAAGGTCAGAGCTCTTCCTCTCATGACATGAGCTCCTCCCTCTCCTGGATAATACCGTAGGTTGTGTTGCCCCTCCCAGCAGAATGCACCTCACAGATCTCTGCATTTTGATATTTGCCACCACACCTCCGTTGGGTTGCCGGAACAAAGAGATGCTTTGACATGCCAAAGACAGCAAGGCAGGTAGGTATGCATCAGGGGTTCCTTCATTATGGGCCGCCTCCACGCGGCACATACTGCTCAAACAAACGGAGACGTATCGGCCCTGCCCTGCTGATCCGAGCGGTATGCGGTGTCTGCCTCTTTCCAAAATCAAAAGAGGAAAAACGAGTTGTTTTTATTTAGTTTTGGCAAAAAAAGTGCAGTCGCGACTTATTCGCCCTCGGAACCTTTCAATAACCGTATATGACACGAGATAACACACCCCCTGGACCGATTTTCAAAGCTCGATTACTCCACAACGAAGAAAATGCATAAACAAAACGATACATTTTCGAAAATTTCTTGACAAGACGGTTTCAACGCCGCCGTTTTCGGCGCTGTGACTGTTCTGGCAGTTGAGAAATCGATCTTCAAAAATCGGTCAAGGGGGTGCGATATCTTGTGTCATATACGGTATGTCGGTCAAACCAGATAGCCCAGAAGAACGCAGAACGCAACTACCGCATTTCCAGCAACCAACACAACACCCACGACCCCTACCCATCGAGTGCACACCGATCGCGTACTCTGTTCCCAGATCAGGTGAAACTTGAGGTATGGGCAAGAGCGGCGGGTAACATTAGCGCGTGCTTGTGAGGTACTTGTGTAGGAGTTGAAGGGTACGGTAGACGAAGTTCTTGGCTGGCAGCAAGGGCTGACCTGGTCAATACCCCGCTTTTTTTGAAATCCATGGATACAGGCAGGCACATCGAGCGGTCGGATGGGCGTAGTCTTTATGTTTTATGTGTTCTACAATGTTACAAATCTGTGTTGCTTACATAGGAGGCCAAGCTCGTTGCAGAGGCCTCGTAGATGTGGCAAGTCGTTTGCACATTCACATACAACAAAGGTGGCGTGTCGCCGTGTTGTGATCTGTATCATCATGCACATGAGGCGAAATTCGTTCTCCTTTTTATTCTCTTTGCGGCGCTGCTGCCTGTGCCTACTCTTCTGTGTTGTAGCTGACAACCTTTGTTTCGCACAACCCAGAGGTTTCCTATCGCATGGCCACATATCATCGACGCATGCGTCGTTCTGCGCCAAAGTAAAACCACGTCCCCCGAATGCATACGGAGCGCCACACAAAGAAGACTACTGTTCAAAGGCCTGCCCTGAATCAATTTTCGCTCACGAAAACAGAAGGTCCAAGAGTCCAGGGCAACATGGGTGAATTCTTCACTGCTATCGAACGAGGTTTTACGTACAATGTGCATACACCCATCTCACGCCGAACCAACGCGCTAAACTCCGCCGTCTCCTTCTGCTTGTCTTTCCGGGCAACGTACATCCACATCTCCCGCGTGGGCATCAGGCTCAGTAAGAAAAATTGGGTAGGTTCACACCACCATTGATTGGATAACCCACTATATAGTACTAGAACTTCTGGACAGCAGTTTGGGTGAACGGATTCAAAATTCTGGGGGAATTGACCACATGGTTGGCTAAGACTGGATCATATTATTGGGGGATCGACCAAAAGGGGGTTTGCCCCGGGGCATGCTTTGGAGTTAGTTGGGTGGTTGATAGTTCTTTCAGGCACGTTGTCAGTTGTGAGTCTTCAGATGTGTTGTGAATGCTACGTACAACAAGGGTGGGATCCGTCAAACATATGCATAGACTTTTTTTTCTTTTTTCTTAATAGTATAACACAACGAGTCCATCTCTATCATAGAAAAGAGTCAGAGACAGATTAATAATGGAATCATAGCGTCAGAGAAAACTACCTGTGTGTCTACGATTTCCCAGACAGCATATAGGGACATCTCCCCTGTGGGTAACAGGCTCAACAAATCAGTCTTGTAGCTGTCTTGTGTTTCTCATATATGTTATGTTGGGAAGGTGCAGACGAAAGGTGTTGCGTACTGCTGTTGGGTAGTCGGGCGTTTCGTGTGTCGCACCCTATTAGTTGTAGGACATGCAATCTCCATCAGTTTACANCTTGTAGCTGTCTTGTGTTTCTCATATATGTTATGTTGGGAAGGTGCAGACGAAAGGTGTTGCGTACTGCTGTTGGGTAGTCGGGCGTTTCGTGTGTCGCACCCTATTAGTTGTAGGACATGCAATCTCCATCAGTTTACAAACATATTCTCAGTTTGTCAGTTTGGTATGCATATGTGCGGAGTATGTGCGGCTGATGTGCCATCTCTATCATAGAAAAGAGTCAGAGACAGATTAACAATGGAATCACAGGGTCAGAGAAAACTACCTGTATGTCTACGATTTCCTAGACAGCATAGAGGGACAACTCTCGGGTGACAGGCTCAAAAGATCAGTTTGGTAGCTGTCTTGTGTGTCTCATACTTCGTATATGTTACGTTGTGGAATTTCATGTCGTTACCTGTGAGAAGGGCACGGGAGAACATTTCTCATCATTGCCTCCTGATGACGTGGTCGCCGATAGAGGCGTGTGGTTGATGAGGTTTCATCACCGACATGTGGGTGTGTGTTAAATGCAGTGGGTGTGTTCACCTCTCTCGTCCGTGTGTAGGCAGGAGGTATGGCTACCTCTCCCATTTGTAGGCAGCGTGGACCATACTCGTAAATATAGATAGAGTTCATCATTTCATGCATGTTACATTATTTGTGTTTGACAAGGGAGGAATGAGAGGTTGTGCGTATGGATACGGGGGTACTCCCTGTGTCCGTGTTGTTCCCAGATGTTGCCGCATCAAGTGGCAGCATGTGTCATGGACAGGTAGACGTGGAAGGACGGCGACAGGTGAACGGCAGCAGTAGTATGTTGTGCATGGTGACATATTGGGCTTGTGCAGAGGCGCAGTCCATCTTCGACCACACACAAAGGAGTTTGCTCGTATTCTACCTGTAGGGACTTTTTCTTTTCTGTGTCTTTCGGTCCTCGGGCTGACTTTTACTGTTGTTGTTGTTGTTGTTGTTTCTCACATTATTAGCTCTAAAGAAAAAGATTGGGAGCCCGTGGTCTCAAAACCCGGCATACACGACCCCACGAAGAAACAGAAAAAAATAGGGTACAAAAACCACTCGGAAGAGAAACAAAATGATAGAAAGAAAGACCAGCTACCGCACCAAACGAGAAAGAGCGTCGAGGAGACCGATCAAAATAAAATAAAAGGAGAACGGGGAACGCTTCCCACACCCGCCTACAACGCCGGAGGGTTCCGTGCCGGGTTCCCGCCGACCAGGCATCCCCCGCCCTGCACCACACCCCAGGGGGTGCAGCAAGACGGGGGGCGAAAAACAAACACATACTCCCACAAAAAAATAAAAAAATCGACGGACGACGTACACCAGTACCAGGTGCTACAGCAGTGCAGTATGCACCAGCGCATTAGTGTAGGGTAGGCACCGCACCAAAGAGGCAGCAGAGGTGGCAGGCAGCCAGCAAAGGAAAAAAGGAGCTCGAGGTATCGTCCAAGATCATCGTAGAGAGGGCATGGAGAACAAGAAAGAAAGAAAGAAGAAAAGCACAAAGTGTGTGGCGATCGAAAGTCGCGCCGCGAAAGTTGGCCCGACGGATTTTTTTGGGCCGGCATACCCCCACCCCCCAGATTTGCCACGGATTCGACCACGAGACAGACCGGTCACCACATCACCACAGAGTTCTCCCTCCATGATGGTCGGATCCTCACCAAACTTTGAAAGCTGTACGCACCACACCTGTAGGCGTCTTTGAAGGTAGTGATGGCTGCTGTGGGGTCTGTGTGTGCTGAGCAATGTCAATCCATGTGAGCAAAAGTAAGAATCCTTGTAGAGAATCCGTCGAGGATCCGGCCGTCGGGCCAACTTTCGGTTGCCATCAGATTCAGCCTCACCCTCGGCGCCGTTCAAACGAATCTATTTTTCACTCTCCCACAACCATGAATACTGGACCAAGATGCGTTCGTTCCCGCTTGAACGAAAGACAGGTTTTAGCCGGCGGCGCAGATCGAACAACGTTCTCGTCATGGTTCGTAGCTGGACATGGATAGGATCGATAGGCAGCCTTCTGCTGTCCCTCGGCCCACACCACACTGGAGGTGAGCACCCTTTGACTCGTTCGCAGTTCGATTCGCATGAAAATTGTGGTTTGTTTGAACGCCAAGCAAACATGTGTGAAGGTGTCTTTTCCCGACGTTCTTGAGGTACTAACTGCTGTGCTTCGCCCGTCCAAACAGGCCCCCAGCAGCCTCCATTGCGGCGTTGGAGTTACCACCTCCATTTTTGGAGTCGCCACCCTTTTCAGCTCCTTTTCGTGCAATGCTAGCGTAGTCTTTTGAGCCGGGCGAAGAAGTGTCAACGTTGACAAGTTGTATTTACCGTTGTTGGACGATTTCTTGCCCGATGACAGCTGAGACTGCTGTGGAGGCTGCTGTGAAGGCTTGGGTTTGGGTTTGACTGAGGGGGTCTGAGGAGCACCGCTACCGGCGCCCGTGCCCGCCTGCTGGTTCGAACCGGCCTTGTTGTCTTTCCTCTTCTGATTGGTGACTACAGATGGCGCTCGCACTTCAGAACTTGGCAGTTAAGAAATCCAGCCTCGAAAAAATCAAAATTTAAGAACTTGGCCATAAGATCACGTGCTCAGTTCCGACGTGGTCTTACGAACAAGAACCCGTAATTGTGGTTTGACAAAGCGCCTTCGGATAAGAACGAACCCCCAAAAAAGTGGCAGCTGCAAGATAAGAACTCGTGAAGGTGGTGAGGGGTGACTCGCGGAGTGTCCGGTGACCCCACCCACCGCAGTTTCAGATCAGCGACGAGGAGGGGGATCTCCAAATAATACTGGTGCGGAGGGGGGGGGGCGGGGCGTACTCTTATGTTTTGCACATCTTAGTGGCTAGACCATTGACTACGCGTCCTCGAGAGGACGGAGTATTGTTCCCACAGGACCGAAGACCGATTTGCCAATCGTCCCCTCCTACTTCACAAAAAAAAACGGTGTCTCAAAAATGTTGTCTCCAGCCTATCTATCCTATCGATATTACGTCCCGCCTCTTCAACCCACGTTCTATGCCCCCAGTACAGCTACACCTAGCTGCTATTCCATGCCTCAATCATCTCCCTGTATCTTCCTTATACTTTTCCCAAGGCTCAGTCACGTAAAATCTCCTCTCCTTGTACAAAAGACATTCCGCAACTACATGAACCCGATGTCCGCACGGAGCCACGTTTACATTTTACCTTGGTCGATGCGGGTAGGTGCTTAGCTTTGTTGTACAAGGTATGCCCCTCATCGCGTGTCATTGGGGTGCCTGCCACGCTACGTGCCATGCACGAGGGCCATATCTTTACCCCTTGAAATATTGAAAGAGCTCGGCCAGCTGTCAAAGTTGAAAGGAGGTGTAATTCTTGATCGACACTTAGACGCCATCAAAGAACATGTCATCGCTGGCAAGTGCCCACGAAGATAGACTGGGAGGCCATCGGGGCGGCGCGAGGGCGACGAAAGCTTGCCGACACCTCTTCCTTCGTCGCACCCACCAGTTTTCGAATTCAAGCGTCTAAATCAGCTGCTCTTGACAGTTCGTGGCTGAATGTGGGGTAATCGTAAAGCTGAGCATAAGCTGCGGCCGTATCAGGAGCGTACCCGCCACCTTTACGACTACCGTATGCATTTCGAGCTACATTTAGACCAAAGACGCGCCGCATGGATGCCGTTGGACAAGCACAGTGAAGATGTGGGTGCGGTGGTAGGGTAGTGGGCTTTGCTGGAGGGAGTGCGCCGTAGAGCAGGGAGGAGGTCCGGCATTCGAAGAGCGGGTGAAGGTCGCTATGTAGCTACGACGGGCGTTAGATAGAGCGGGGAGGGCAATCACGCCGAACGTGACCCTCTAAATGGTTCAACGCGTTTGCTCCGATGCGTCTTTTGTTCAGGCGATACCGCGTTTGTATTCAACTCTACCCTATCGTGATCTGCGGTACGTCGATATTCCAGAGGTCTCTGTTTAGCGACCTTCTATTACTATGGTCTGTTTTATGAACATGCTCTCAAGTGTCATGCTGAATCCACCCAGAAAAGAAAAAAGTCCTCCGAATGGGGCCCTCGGCGCAGAAATAAGAACAAGAACCCCGTGTATCATACGGATATGCCTGCTCGAAACAAGAACTTTGAAAATAAGAACAGGTGCTCAATTTGAGGCAGCCAATAAGCATGGAGCCTTGGCCAATATAAGCGGCTGTTACGTGCGGGCGCCATCTGTATGTTGAAAAAATGGGTGAACAGAGGAGAAAGACACACAGAGGCCGCTCTTCGTCGAAGCCAACATGAATGCCCTCAACTCTGTGTGAGCTCAGGTCCCAATCCGGCGAAGTGGTATATGGCTACCACCGGAGGCAGGCTAGTTTCCTCGGTTGAGATGTGACGAGGAATGTCAAGCGGTGACCGAGCATGCTCGGTCAAGGCTGGGGTGAGGTTGTGAATGGGCGTTGGCCAAGACCATTCTTGGCTCTCGGTACCAACCAAAACGATCCACCCCGACTCCTGTCGGAGCCAATAAACCACAGAGTAAAGATCCAGAGCAAAGCGGTGACTTATCGTCTGTCGAAGATTCTTTACTCCCTTCGGATGTGCGTGTTTAAGTATAAGAAGATACGAATATCCTGGCTTCCACACTTGTGTGAGAGAGTACGTTTTTGTGGTACGAACTGCTGTGCTTCGCCCGTCCGAACAGGCATGATTCCGTCAACACCGGTCAAGCGAGGCAAGCTACAGCATGGACCCCCCTCCCCCCCCATATCGCACAGCTTTTCCGGTCAATCCCAGTCTAAAAGCAACCTGTGTGCCGTCCCCCAACTCACGATGCCAACTACCGCCGCGTGCTTCAGCCATCACGGTGGAGCTGTCGGAGGTGCTGGCGCCAAGCGCCATCACCGTGGACGCAGAGTGGCAGGGCAGTAGCAGCTTCAGTGGCACCGATCCCATCAGCCATGATTGCCCGTTGTCGGGAAGGTGCATTGGACAATTGACGCGGGTGGGTGCGGGACAACACATATTGTGCTTGGCTTCGTCAAAATTTTGCGACGATCCAGTCTTTCTCACATGCGTTCCTGTGCTTTCCGTTTATGTGTGTAGACTGCGGGAAGTATTTCGGCAGACGTTGCGCTCGACGAGCAAAACGTGTACAACGAAAAAGGCACGCTACAGGATGACCCACCCTTTTCGATCATTGTTCGTATTTTCGACGGCTTGTTTCATCGACATTGTTGTAGTAATCGCTGGTANGGAGCCTTGGCCAATATAAGCGGCTGTTACGTGCGGGCGCCATCTGTATGTTGAAAAAATGGGTGAACAGAGGAGAAAGACACACAGAGGCCGCTCTTCGTCGAAGCCAACATGAATGCCCTCAACTCTGTGTGAGCTCAGGTCCCAATCCGGCGAAGTGGTATATGGCTACCACCGGAGGCAGGCTAGTTTCCTCGGTTGAGATGTGACGAGGAATGTCAAGCGGTGACCGAGCATGCTCGGTCAAGGCTGGGGTGAGGTTGTGAATGGGCGTTGGCCAAGACCATTCTTGGCTCTCGGTACCAACCAAAACGATCCACCCCGACTCCTGTCGGAGCCAATAAACCACAGAGTAAAGATCCAGAGCAAAGCGGTGACTTATCGTCTGTCGAAGATTCTTTACTCCCTTCGGATGTGCGTGTTTAAGTATAAGAAGATACGAATATCCTGGCTTCCACACTTGTGTGAGAGAGTACGTTTTTGTGGTACGAACTGCTGTGCTTCGCCCGTCCGAACAGGCATGATTCCGTCAACACCGGTCAAGCGAGGCAAGCTACAGCATGGACCCCCCTCCCCCCCCATATCGCACAGCTTTTCCGGTCAATCCCAGTCTAAAAGCAACCTGTGTGCCGTCCCCCAACTCACGATGCCAACTACCGCCGCGTGCTTCAGCCATCACGGTGGAGCTGTCGGAGGTGCTGGCGCCAAGCGCCATCACCGTGGACGCAGAGTGGCAGGGCAGTAGCAGCTTCAGTGGCACCGATCCCATCAGCCATGATTGCCCGTTGTCGGGAAGGTGCATTGGACAATTGACGCGGGTGGGTGCGGGACAACACATATTGTGCTTGGCTTCGTCAAAATTTTGCGACGATCCAGTCTTTCTCACATGCGTTCCTGTGCTTTCCGTTTATGTGTGTAGACTGCGGGAAGTATTTCGGCAGACGTTGCGCTCGACGAGCAAAACGTGTACAACGAAAAAGGCACGCTACAGGATGACCCACCCTTTTCGATCATTGTTCGTATTTTCGACGGCTTGTTTCATCGACATTGTTGTAGTAATCGCTGGTATCCGACGCTGACCATGCCGTGATGGTGCGCCAGGCGCATTTACGACACTCGGAGCAGGTGGAGTGACCCGCTCTCGCATACTGTCCACACGAACGCAATGTCCACGGTTTCGAATTCTCCGCCGCCTTCATTTCTTTTCCTATTTTATCCATCCATCCATCCATTCCATCCATCCGTCCGTCACTAGTGGAAGCCGAGCGGGATTTGCCATGACCGGCTCTTCTCAATCTGATAAACGACAAACTTCGGTCGGAGCGCAATTGGTTCTTACCGATGATGCACTTCTGCAAGAGCCGTCGGGTTTTCATTCATCTTTGTGTATTCTGTCCTGTCCACTCATCAACCTCGACGGGGACGAGCGAAACATGACTCAATCTCCCTCGGGCGCTGCCACGTGTAGTTACCAAAGCGCATGTGCCATTGAGCGACGACATATGTCGTCTTCGAGATCTCGGTACCAAACCTGTTGGGTGGGGGTGCACCGCCGTTTCACGCATCGACCCTTCTGCTATCGTGACCACCACAACCGCCGACATTCAGGACGGGTCCCTCGAGCTGGACTCTAGGTACGACTGCACGAGGCTCCTCGAATCAGCCTCCTGCGGGGTACGGTACGGGCTCATCGACGGCGGCCAGTGGGGCGACTTGTCAACCATCTCTAGCGTGAGAATTGGTGAGCCTCGGCGATCGACAAAGTTGGTATAATTTTATCTCTTGGGTCAGAAAAGCCAAAAAATATATATGCCGGCGTACCCGCGAAAGATGTACCCCGTGTTTCTTGTCGACCGTTGTGCGTTTTTATATTCTTTGTGCCACACCTTCGACGAAAATGAGGTCATTACTCAGATGGTGGTTGTCTTTTTGTGTGCCATGCCGAGGCGAGGACGCCTTACACTTTTCTCAACCCCTTCTTCAATGCCTCGCGGGTACAAGCACGAGCATATTCCCATGTCCTTCGTTTCACTTTCCCCATGAATTTTCGTGTGCGCTTCCGGACAACAAACAACCGCAACCATGATGCCTCGGGGCTCACATCCAAACTTCCACGTCTGCCGGAAACGTGCGGGGGGCGCTTGCGTCAGTATCTTTGACGATTGCGAAACGGAAATATGGTGGCGTCGATCCATTTTAGAGTAGACCACGGTTGTTGATGGATATTTTCCGGAGTTCGTGGAACTGCTGAAGGATCGACATGGGTGCATCAATCCGCGAACCTCATCTCGAGGGTGGTTTGTTTTGTACTCTACGGGCTACAACGGGTAAACTTAACGCCAGACGTTTGAAGAACGAAATGACACCCGAGTATGTACATACGTGCACCTCTAAAACAGTCATGTTGATCGTCGTAACTGTTTCGGACTTGACAACACAACAAATGTAGCGTGTAATCCACCTCCTGCTGCCGGCGAGGGAGGCTATGCAAAGAGAACACCCGATGCTTAGCTCTCGCCTGCGGAAGGGACTCGCGAAAATTGTTCAGAAAGTCTTCAAAACTTGATGATGTTGCTTAGAGCGATCTTTCCTCCTTCTTCGTGCCAGGATTAAGGCTGAACTCGACGAGCAGAGCCCAAATACAGGTCTGAGCCGTTAGTTTTGTGTGTTCTGTATTGTATGGATAGGATAGAGACATTTCACTGTTCGTATTTTGTTTCCACTCTCCTGCTCGTTTTCCGCTGCGGAACCTGGCGTGGCGTGTACCGTGGGTGATCTTCGATGTCGTTCCAGACTTGGTGCCAACCGGACGGGGAAGGAAAAAGGACAAGAGATAATGGCTGTACCGGGTGGCAGAGGCTGTAGAACCGACACCAAAATACAACGACGACGACGACAGCAATACCGAACACGTGTCTCTTCCTCCGTCGATTCGTTTTTGCACTCAACAGCCCTGCACCCCGACAGCGTGCAGAGCTTGCAAGTGGGGATCGGTCGGAACGAATTGGAGGCATGGGAAGCCGACCCCGACTTGACAGCGGCAGGCGAGATGCAAGAAATCCCCGGCGTCGAAGGCTTGACGGGGTCGGACCTTTATATCTACGGCGACATGGAGATCGGGGAGTCCCTCCGTATACTGGAGGTATAGTGGTAATATACTTGAGAGCTGAACCGGGTTGGGTGCAACATGGTGCATTATTTTAAGTAAAGAAAAAAAATGTAGCACTTGCTTGATTACCAAGCACTTACCGACAGCTACACCGCGTCGAACAAGATTGATGACATCGTCGTACAATTCGGAGTATATCTGGCGATAGAATCGGAGTGGACGCACAAGTCGGCGGTTCGTTCGTGTCCAGGGGGGGGGGGGGGGGGGGGGG